CAAGAACTTAAAGGATGTTCTACAGCAGCTTTCGTCTTCAGGCCTCAAGTTAAACCCAAAGAAGTGCTGTCTCTTCCAACGAGAGGTGAAGTTCCTGGGGCACCACGTGACGCCGGAGGGCATATCGACGGATAATGAAAAAATTCAAGCCGTCAGAGATTGGCCGCAGCCCCGAAATCTCCATGAGCTGCGAAACTTTCTGGGTCTCTGCACCTACTACCGTCGATTTGTCCCAAATTTTCCCAACATCGCCGCCTGTCTACACCGCTTAACGCAAAAAGGCCAGAGGTTTCAGTGGGGCAACGACCAAGAAGAGGCATTCAGAAAGCTCAAAGACATGCTATGCGGAGCCCCATTTTGGCATACCCTATACCTGGCGGCAAGTTTGCTTTGGACACAGACGCAAGTGCGTGCGGCATCGGTGGCGTCCTTTCCCAGGAAATCGACGGACAGGAAAAAGTCATCGGGTACTACAGCCGGACATTGTCGAAACCTGAGAGGAATTACTGTGTGACGAGGAGAGAGCTGCTTGCCGTCCTGGAGAGCGTTAAACACTTCCACAAATACCTATATGGCCAGCATTTCCTGCTGAGGACCGACCACGCTGCTCTCCAATGGTTGCTGCAGTTTAAGAATCCGGAAGGTCAACTAGCCCGTTGGATCGAGAGGCTCCAGAGTTATGACTTCAGAATCGAGCACAGAAAAGGCGGAAAACACGGTAATGCTGATGCCCTGTCTCGTCGGCCATGCAAGGTAGAATGCAAGCACTGCTCAAAGGCTGAGAATAAAGAGAATATCGTTGATGTCCAACTATTGCAGTTTGAGTCGGGTGAAGATTGGTCGACGGAACAACGAAGAGATCCCATTCTGGGCAAAGTAATTTCGGCCATGGAAACGGGCAAGCGACCTAGTCGCAAAGAAATTACCTCCGAAAGCCCTCTTTTAAAATCCTATTGGGCCCAGTGGGACAGTCTACTTATAAAAGATGGTTGCCTATATCGCAAATGGGAAAGTGAGGACGGTAAATCTCACCGGAACTTGATCGTCGTCCCAGAATCCAAAATAAGAGATGTCTTGTCGGAGTTTCACGATGGGCCAAGTGGAGGACATCTTGGCATAGCAAAAACCGCTGAAAAGGTAAAGCAGAGATTCTACTGGGTCGGCTGTCAAAAATCCATTGCCGACTGGATCGCCAATTGTGAAAGGTGCATAAGAGCTAAAGGTCCAACACGGAAGAGTCGAGGCTACATGCAGCAGTATAATTCAGGAGCCCCTTTTGAAAGAATCGCAATGGATGTAGCTGGACCGTTCCCAACAAGCGACTCTGGGAACCGGTATGTCTTAGTGGTCATGGATTACTTCAGTAAATGGCCAGAGGTTTATGCTATCCCAAATCAAGAAGCCAGGACAATTGTGGATGTGTTCAGCAAAAATTGGATTTGTCGCTATGGTGTTCCATCTGAGGTTCATTCCGATCAAGGTAGGAATTTTGAATCAGCGATCTTCAAGGAAATGTGTGACTCCTACGGAATCAAGAAAACCAGAACGACGCCCCTACATCCACAATCAGATGGCATGGTGGAAAGATTTAATCGCACCCTGGAAGAACATCTACGGAAAGTGGTGGACAGTGGCCAACGAGACTGGGATGAGCATATTCCTAAGTTTTTACTGGCTTATAGATCGGCCATTCATGATTCCACATCTCGGACCCCAGCCAAAGTTCTGTTCGGAAATGAATTAAAGCTACCTGGCGATTTGATATTCGGTGCTACCCCAAACGACAATGTGAACCAAGATGAAGACAGCCAAAACTCTTTTAGTAAAGTCCACGATGCAGTTCGCCATCGAATAAAAATGGTTAGCAACCGCATGAAGGCAAGGTACGATCGAGCGGCAAATACCGATGGGTTCCAAGAAGGGCAACTGGTACTATTGTTCAACCCACAACGAAAGAAAGGACTATGCCCCAAATTGCAAACGCACTGGGAAGGACCCTACAAGATTGTCACGAAAATAAATGATGTGGTTTATCGCATCCAGAGGAGCGACAGTCCCAGGTCGAAGATGAAAGTTGTACATTTGGAGCGGCTGGCCCCCTACGGAACGGGAACTGCGCCTATTCGGGACGAACAGGCTTAAGCGGGGGGCAATGTTACGAATATGACTTTAGATTTAAGTTAATTTAGATGAATTCCGTTAATTTAAGAATTTGAATTGTAACGTAAATTTCTACTACGCAGTTTATTCGAATAACTTCACAACAACAACTACTGTATAGATTTTTCTACATCCTTCCATTTCCTCTTCCATTTTCTATTTTGTTATTGTCATACAATTCTTGTTAAACGTCATCATTAATGATCGCTTAATTCCTCTTTCTTTGTTACCCCCTCGCCTGTATATGTGTTGTTGTTATTGTTTACTCAATGTAAGTTTGTATGTGTTGTTATTGTTTACTCAATGTAAGTTTGTATGTGTTTGTTGCATTGGTAGATTGTTCGTAATCTAGGCGTTACCAGATCGTCTAGAAACTTCTGTAGCGACAGGCAAGGGGCATATAAATAGAGGAAATGGAAAGGCAGTGAGTCAGTTGTGAATCAGATCGCGAATCGAAACCGTCGAGTAAAGTAAAGTGCAAAGTAAAGTTGTGTGAATAAAATCATTGTAATAATCGTAATCAGAAAGAACCTGCTTTTTATTTGGTACGAATTGTATCGGGAAATAAAACAACGACTACACGGGATTAAGCAAAATCCAAGAACGTAACAATATAAAAGATGTTTTCCCCTTTTTGAACTGCATAAAAACATGCAGTATAAACACGAGTGTATCCTTGGTAACATCTTCAACGTTGTCGTATGCCTTTTACTATTTAACTGCGTCACAAATAAATATGCTGGCTCTAACAACATGTCATGGCGTTTACCGTTATTCGCGGCAAACATATTGCAATATTAGTTTTGTTCTTTTGTGTCGTATCGGAAACAAGTTCAATTAACAATTTTTCGGATAAATAGTCAATTTTACGTCTTTCGATATTGACAAAAATGTTCCTCGTATTTTGTTTTCTTTGTGTCGTATATGAAAAATAAAGGCAAGATAAGGTTCCATTTCCTGTCGTCCATCTCGGTAGTGTCTATAAAAGCCATAAAATATCCGGCAATGTCGCCATTTTCTTTTTTTTGTTTTTCTGATGTTGTGCCAAAGCTTTCGCAAATTGCGCGTTCGCGGAAGGTAAGTGTACATACCATTAATGAAAGTTGGTAAAAGTCATTACAAATTATTCTTTCTTTTTCTGCAGATAATGTTAAGTCGTGGTAAAGTGATCATTCGTCTTTGTTTAAACGTGAAATGTTCCGTGCTGCAATAAATCGGGCGGTTAAAAAATAAGTGTGCGTATTTCGTTGCTGTATCCAATTAGAGGATCGTTAAACTCGGATATTTATTTGTATAGCCTACATCATTGATGCTCAAAACATCCGAAAATCATACGTTAGCGTAAATGGTAAAAAACGCAGTCTCATTTGTTCTCTTTTTCTCAATCATTTTTGGTGTTGAATTCTCAGTTACGCTCATCTACATTTACTCTCACTTGCTTGTACCCACCACTGGCCTACATCAACAACAGTGGAATGGAATTATAACCTATAGTCCAAAAAGTTGTTCCCAAGAAAAATTTGCACAAGCATTTCGCAAATGATTTTTTAAATAATTTTTCATATAATTCCTACCAGGATCATAGTTTTTCTCAGCCATTATTTAAGTTCGCAGAAGTTGAGGGAAGCTATAAAAGTTTTACATTAGATAATTTATAACGAACGATTTACTAACCTTCTTCTTCTGTCTTACATTGTTCATCAACAGACTTGCTTCTTCATTCTCCACCTTAAGTAATAACTACATTCTACACTTTTGTTTTCGTACTCCTCTAAAATTTATTCTAATGTAATCTATATATGTGTAACTGCATATAATATATATAATATTCTGCATTCAGATCTAAATCGTCCAACTAAATTGCATTCAAATAAGAATTTTTATAGGTTACCAATTTCGAATACTGACATGATCTGTATAACAACTGTAATCCTTAACGTAATTCACACCAAACCAGTTATATTTCATAGCAGGTCCAATGGTTCCTAAGTTTATTAACATTCCCCATATGGAATGCAATTTTAAAATTTGTATGAAATTGATTTCATATTCAAAATACAACATGACTTAGTTTTTCAATCAGGAAGAAATGTTTCTAATTAGCCAATGTGATGATTTGATTTTTCAAGTAAAATTACAAAGCACCAAAGCAGATAGTTTCAAATATATCTGAAATGGATTTTAATTCAAAATGCAACATGTTTTGGAATTTCAATCGGGAAATAATTTTACTAATTAGTCAGTATGTTGATTTCAATCTTTTCAAGTTTAATTACAAAGCAACTACTGGCAGATACTGTTTTCAATTTTATAAAAAAAAAACATTGTCTTTTATTCTTCTATGTAGTGGTGTAGGCTACAACAAATTACGGTCGGTTAAAAAAAAACATGAAATATTTTTTTGTCCTTATGTGTAAGCCGCGACTATAATATTCTGAGGTTCGTACTTACTGTATTTTCCATTATTGCTCACAAACTAAACTTCGTTTTTCTATTTTTTTTCTAGGTGAGACAAAGACCCAAAGTGTTCGGAGTATATAAGTAAGTTATGATATTTAATATTTATAACACCTTTAATAAAATTTACTGAGCATTTATTACATATATTCTATAGCACCGTAAAATCAATAACCATTGAACAATATGTGTAGATTTTTCAACATATTTTATTATTAATATTAATTTATTCATTTCAAAGACAAGCCAAAAAAATGTTTAAAATTCTATCAGAATAAGCAATTGCAGACAGTTAGCTTGTCTAAGGGAAGAGTTTAGATCCCTACCCTTTGATTTCTAAAATAACAAAACAATTGTTTAAACATTTAATTAACCTTTACATTTTATTGCCACCAAAAACTCACAGAAAAACTTGGACTTTCAGATTCAACATAATGCCACCATTTAGGTGGCATATACACACAATCACCCGGCTGTAATGTTAAATTATAAAATTTCACCTTGGCCAAGCGAGGATATTTTTCCAAATCGGGAAGGGCTGCATTGATTTGCGATGTATTCGATAGAAATTCACCCTCATGTGGATACAGATTTTCCGTATCTGTAGGCGATGCTAATATAAGTTTTTTTGTACCAAACACTTGACACAATATATTATGTTTGGGATCATAATGCATTGGACTAATTGTACCCTTGGGTCCCAACCAAGCTTTAATGTCTATCGCTTCGTTGTGTTCGCCCAATTGACAATAGTCTGGTATTGTAAAATCCTGTTTTAATTGTGGTATTTGCTCGAAAAGTTCATGTTGGGCTAGATATTCAATTTTCTGATAATCATTTGGCAAGTCTGTTGTAGAAAACTGCCTTTTTAAAAAATCTTTGATTTTCATTAACTGTTGTGACCATTCATCTGTGGCATAATTAGAACCAATTTCAATGGGAACGGTACGATTGCCTGCTAGTTTTAAAATATAATTCAAGTTACGCCATTTCGTCAATGCCGGCCAGAGCATGATAGTGTTGAGTAATAAAGCAGGTTTTTGTGTTGTAAAACATTTTCTATTGAATTCCTCAAGTGATGGACAATCTAATTGTAGAATATCACAGTCCACAGAACGTCGAACTGTCGTTTCGATTATGGGTAATTGTAAGTCATCAGTGGGATCTAAAAAAAAAATAATTAAAAAACATAACACAATTATTAAGTTCTAAGGCGTGATGGACGTTTTTATGCTCTCCACCACACACATTTAAATTATTTTGATCAGGGTCGTTATATGATGGCTTAGTCAAAAATGGACATACATTGTCTGCCAAGAGAAAAGCAAATGCGAAATTACCAACCACTAAGAACGCAAAATCTCGATTAGAAATGCCACTAAAACTTCCAAATAACGAAAATAGAGGGGCCTTTATGTGGGAGATTACTCAAAGCGTGTACTTGAACAATTTATGCGAATAATTCGACGTATTCCAATATAATATTCACTTACCTAACTCATTGTCAAAAAAATCTGTTAGGTTATCCACAAATTCCTTATTATTCACGAATAGATTTTGCGTACAACCCAGAAGTATGGCATCATCTAGAATTTCATTACATTTCTCAATTTGTAACCTTTCCGTGGATTCTAATAAAAGAAATATAATCTGTCAAAGTTAGATTGGGATATAAAAGATAAATAATTTTTATAGAAATTCCTCGAGTACTTACTTTACAAAAACATCCCAAAGCATAGGTTTTTCTCACATCCAATGACACTTCACTGAAATGTCCCGTATGTATTTCCTCCCAACATTTGTCGACCAATGCTTGTACAAGGAAATAACATTCCTCAGTGTCATCTGCGTTCGAGTTTTGATTTAGTTTTTCCTTTAAGGTTTCGATTGTTTTCTTTAAAATAAATTGTGCTTCGGGATTTAATTTGATTAATTCTTTAATTTCTTCATATTGTGGTAATAGATTTATTAATTTATTGACAATATCCATTACGATTTTATAAAGGCTTTTCAATAACTATATGATTCAATTTTTTTTTTCAATTAACTCCTCTCCTCCTTGGCTCACGTCCTATATGATTCAATTTGTTTGTAAACAAACTCTGAAAAGCCGACGAACCACCACCGTGTAATATCGACCTTACCAGTCAGCTGACATTTTATGTCGTCTCATGTTTCCATATGTCAAATGCTAATTAAATAACAGGGTAATTTAAAAAAAAAATAATTGTTTATATTTTTTTCTAGTATTTCGCTTCGCCTAAAAGTATACTACAATTTTGATGTAGTTTTTCTGCAACACTTCTACCGTTGTTACACAATGGGTGGGAAAACTGTCGTTGCCTAGTGTGTCTCGGGTATTTTTGAATAGTTTGCATTCGTTTTCTAGCAAATTTATGTTCTGGTGGATGTCATTTTAACTAAACTTTTATCTCAGTGAATTTCTATAAATTATTCCAATTTATTGTTTTATAATGTTCTATACTGTCTTAGCTTCATGTTAAAACAAAAATTTTTTCTAGTTCAAGTTTATTTAAGTTTTAAAATTTAATTTAAGATCTTGAAGAACAAATCTATGGCGTTATCTTGGTTAATAAGGTCTACAACAATATTTTTCAAAACAAATTAAACCCAAATCTTTAACTGTTTCAATATAAGACTAAATTAACGTAACAACTTTCAAAATAAACGACTCATATGCAGCTTTGTGTTTGCATACATATTCCTCGGTGTCGTTACAACGAAATATATCGGGAACTAAAGACTTAAAACATAATGATTTTATGCCGCCACATAAATGCCAAAGATTTAAGAAATTTCATTTTGGATAATACAAAAAGTAAAAAAAATAATAATAATAGCGAGGTGGTCACATTTGGAGGAACACTTGGTATCCAGGCGTTTGAAGCAAGCACATGCGAACACTGACAATATTTGTCGTCTTCGCGCAAGGAATTCCCAAAAAATAACTCGAACCACAGCCAACAGCTACATTTACAACATGAACATTTTACACCTTCATTTCACTGTCGTATTCCCTGCACCTGGATTTATTTTTTGATTGTCGTACTCTTCTGAATGCACATTTGCGACTATAGCACTATATCATATTTTTGTTAGAGCATAATATGAAATTCGGAGGTATGTGGGGGAGCAAAAGGAAATGGATTGCCAAGCAAACGACTGACGATAGTAAGCAGTGATAATGGCAAGCGACCTCAGTTGGTGGTGATCAGTTGTTGCGTTTTGGGTTTTTAGTGGAGGTGGTGTTGGCAGTGAGGTGAAATTTTAGCCACTTTATGCACCGCCAACACGATTGTTAGACGCTACACACAAATGCAATGTTGGGAGAGCACGACTCAAAAGCCAAATCGTGATAGAAATGCTGGGCAGTAATAATGACACAGTAGTATTTTGTACGAGGTGCATTCTGGTGGATAAGGAAAGAGAACTATGATTTTTTTTTCATATCATGTTGTGAATTCCTTTTTTATAGCATTCACCATAAAAGAGCATCGAGAGTGAAAGGGTTCGAGAGTGACATAACCATTGCTCACCGTGTACTTGGCTCAGGGATCTGTAGATTTGAACGACGCAGCATATTATTAATACGTGTAATTACCAGCGTAAATTAGATCTCATATCGGAATATCCTTTCCAAATGCAAGAGAAAATATAAAGTTTTTTTTCGAATGAGTTTCTGATAGTTGGCGTTTTTCTATTAGTAATGGCTATATCAGTTCAAAAATCTGCGGTCTGGTGGTGGAGACAATTATATTGTTGTCTGACACAAGAGATAGTGATTATATCTGTTAATTGAGTTAACCTACAACCTGGATTGCAACTGTTTTCCAAGCTGAAATCATCGCGATTTGGAAGGCAGCGGAATTGATAAAAAGTCTTCGTGACTATCTTCGTGGATAGTCAAGCGGCTCTTAAAGCCATCAAATCTTGTTATATCAAATCTGAGGCCGTCCTCAAGTTAACCTACAAACTGGATTGCAACTGTTTTCCAAGCTGAAATCTTCGCGATTTGGAAGGCAGCGGAATTGATAAAAAGTCTTCGTGACTATCTTCGTGGATAGTCAAGCGGCTCTTAAAGCCATCAAATCTTGTTATATCAAATCTGAGGCCGTCCTCAAGTGTAGAGCAGCATTGGAAGAACTTACTTAAAGCTATTGGCTATGTTGGGTACCAGGACATTGTGACATCTTGGGTAATGAAAGAGCAGACGAACTAGCATGACAAGGATCTCAATCCACAGATCTAACAATTGATGACTCAATCAAACCACCCATATGTCATCTTTACCGGAACTTTGAGGCGTCTTCGACGAAAGTGCCTATGAACATTGGCACAACGAACCTAGGTGGAACGTGTCAATATCCATTTGGCCGACTCTGTCTACCAAAATAACGCACTCACTGTTGAATCTGAGCAAAGCTGAAATAAGAGTAATGGCAGGAATCATTACTGGCCACTGCAACATAAGGGCTTTTACTAGTAAATGGGATCTTGATGCAATTCATTACTGTAGACTCTGCATTGACGAGGAGGAGACGGAGACAATTAAGCATCTTCTGTGTCATCGTCCAGCCCTGGCTTACAGGCGGCACAGACTAGTGGGTGCTCATTTTCTACCGGGTCTTAGCTTAATTAGAAAGGTGGTTGAGAAAGTGAAACCTTGACACGTAATATATCTACTGTCTGATTTCTATAGCCATCGACATTAATCCAACCTTACTTTTTTACATCTTTCAGTAAGCTTCTCATCTCTCTTTATTTCCCCAATCTTCTCCCCTCTATAGATCTGTCCTTATCTCTTTTCTTCTCGTGGATGATCACAATGAACCTAACGGCCTCGGAGTGCTGCAGCCACATAAGTGACTGCACATCCCCAAAACTAACCTTATATCCGATAAACTCTCACATTGTTCAGGACGTCATCACTGCTTCATTTTTAATCTAGAGTTGTGTATTTCTGGTCTTTTTTGAGCGATTTCTTGAGTATCCAAGTCTATAGTCTAACAAAAATCTATAGTTAGAAACATATTTTCGTCTCTGCGATAGTAGTGGTGCATTAATTTCTCATCTCATCGTGTTCTTCCTCTAAAAGGGTTTCACACACGAAATTCTATCTAAAAGGCACCTAACCAACAGTCTGAACTACCATCGTATATTTCCAATTTTATTCTTTAACTGGCAGCGATTTTCACCAGCTGAGCTAAGCGGGAGCAATTTCTGGGAAAGCTTGTTGTCTACATTATTTTTTTCTTGTTATTTTTTTAGATTTCGTTGCAAATATCCATTACAAGCAGCGATGACTATGACTTTGCACTTACTTTGAAATTGTCGTGCCCTCCGGTCGGTTACCGTATCTTTGCCTTTATTTTCTTCAGCTTCGTTATATTGAGATTTCTTGACGGTGAGATGTCTTTAGTAACAGCATGCAGCAGCAGGGTATTGTATGCCCGACTAGCACATAGACTGACTGATTGTGCTCTACTTAACACGTAAAACATAACGTTTAGGCAATCGGCAAATATTCCATTTGCTGGCTGTTGTTTGGCTGGCTGGTGGTTTCACATTTATCGGCGAAACGTGTATGCGCCACTAACAGCTGCAGGGTGGCGGTGGGAAAGAAGTTTGTCCACCTCTAACTCTATCTATCAGTGGAATATGCATGAACGAACGGCCGAACGATGAAAGCATACGAAATTGAAACACGTGCACAACACCAACGATACTCTAACGAAGACGTTGATCGTTTGCATGCACTCGTATCCCAGTTCATGGTTATGTTCGACGGTTCGATGGTGCTGCTTCTCGTCGTGAGTTTTGATCTTGTTTTGCTTTTGACGCTTTCTTCATAAGACATAATCTGACTTTAGTCTTCAGTTAATTGTGTTCAGGTCTGTTATGGATATTTTATCGTTGTTATGAAGATCAGTTGTAGTTGTCGTTGGTGCTGTTACTGGCTGGTTGTTGGATGCAATGAAAGTTGGCCATTGATCGTTGTTAAGTATTACAGTTTAATGCTGCTACACTGATTTGTTGAGTTGCACTGTAGTTACATTTAGAAAAATTTCATTGAAGGACTCACATTGATTTTGAAATAAAGCCTCAGATTCTTGGGGTTCTTATTGTAATTAAAAAACCTTGAAGAGAAATATCAAAGATTCTTTGGGTTTTAATCAAAATTTGGTTTATTGCGGGGTTTTCGGGGAGTTACAATTGTATATAGGAATATGTATGGCTATTCTTTATGTAGATAAATACGTCTTTGTCGTGGCGTTGTTGGAGACCTGGATAACTAGTCCGAGATGAGAGCTCCGGAGACCTTGATAAGTACTCCCTTGTTTCAGGCCGAATCCTCCCTTGTTTCTGCTCGAGTCCTTTGTGGGAGACCGGGATAAGTTTCAATGGTCCCAAAACGACTTTGAATTCCGTGGTCTTAACGGGCTAAATATATCTTGCCCAAGAGCTTCGGACACTTCAAGGGGTTCTCAGAGAGTTAAATCCATCGGACCCAAGAGTTACGGACACTTCAAGGGGTTCTCTGAGGGTTAATTCAACGGGCCCAAGAGTTACGGACACTTCAAAGGTTCTTAGAGGGTTAATTCCGACGGACCCAAGATTTACGGACACTTCAAGTGGTTCCTAGAGGGTTAAACTACAACGGTCCCAAGTGTTGCGGACACTTCAAGGGTTCTTAGGTGGTTAATTCCGACGGACCCAAGAGTTACGTACACTTCAAGGGGTTCCTCGGGGGTTAAATTCCAACAGTCCCAAGAGTTACGGACACTTCAAGGGTTCTTAGAGGGTTAATTCCGACGGGCCCAAGAGTTAGTGACACTTCAAGGGTTTAAAATGGGTTAATTCCGGCGGACCCAAAGGGACCAAAGAGCTACGGACACTTCTTATGGTCTAAATTCTATGATAACCACTCTGACTCACCTCGTTTTTCCAATTGGATAGTTGTCGCCTGTT